AGCCCAGGTAATTATTCGTCGGAGCAGGGTGAAAGACGTTCTGAGCGAACTGCACGGTGTACCGTGAGACGGTCACTTCGGTGTTAATAAAACACTGAATAAGGTTCGGCAGAGATTCTACTGGCTCCAAGCAAGAACCGATATGGAGAAATGGTGTCGACAGTGTGACATATGTGTAGCCAGCCAGGGACCGCGGACAAGGAATCGTGGGCAAATGTACCAGTATAATGTTGGGGCTCCCTTCGAGAGATTGGCCATTGATATTGCAGGGCCATTCCCACGAAGCAACCAAGGAAACCGATACTTACTGACCGCTATGGACTACTTCACCAAGTGGCTGGAAGTGTACTCCATCCCGAATGAGGAGGCTACGACAACAGCGGAATTCTGGTTGCCAATTTCTTCTGCCGTTTCGGCTTACCTCGAGTGTTGCACAGTGACCAAAGCCGTAATTTCGATTCTCATCTACTGCGAGAAATTTTGCAACGCCTGGGAGTGAGCAAGACGCGCACCACACCCCTGCGCCCACAGTTGGATGAAATGGTGGAAAGCTACATCAAGACAATCGAGGAAGACTTGCGGAAAGTCGTTGCATCGCACCAAAGAAACTGGGATAAAAGTTTGCCCCTCTTTCTCCTAGCTAACAGGGCATCCACACACGAAAATACGGGCCTGACCCCTGCTGGCCTAGTGTTCGGACGAGAACTACGACTACCTTGCGACCTGCTCTTTGGAGTACCGCCCGATCAAGAACAACCCATAACCGATTATGCAGCAGACTTAGTGGATCATCTGCACAACATCCACAATTATACTTCTTTTGGCTTATTTTGGACTTCACCCATCGTCCGGTATATAAAAGACTTAAAACCATGACGTTTCGGAGACTTGATCTGTCTCCGTCTTCAGGTGGATAGGGAAGGTTAAACTGACTCAGTTGGGCCCCTTAGAAAGAGCTAGTCTCAATCACTGGACTAGCTCTTTCTAAGGGGCCCAACTGAGTAGGTTTAACCTTCCCAATCCACCTGAAGACGGAGACAGATCCAGTCTCCGAAACGTCGTGATTTTTTGTCTTTTATATACCGGACGATGGGTGAAGTCCAAAATAAGCCAAAAGAAGTACAGTATACACCATCGTCAGAATCCTTTCAAGTCTATCCACAATTATGCTCGGCAACACCTGAATCTCGCCAGTGATAGGATGAATACTCGTTACGATAAACTGACCAACTCCGCAGGTTACGACGAAGGCGAAAGAATCTGGCTCTATCGCCCAACCCGCAGAAGGGGAAATCGCCGCAACTACAAGCATCATGGGAAGGTCCTTACAAAGTAGTGACCCGGATAAATGATGTGGTATACCGAATCCAGAAGACCCCTAGTTCAAGGATGTTGTTTGTACACCTCGACCGGCTCGCGCCTTATCATGGAGCTGCTCGAGACGAGCAACCATAAAAAGGGGGAGATGTAGCGGTTGGAGAACAGAGCAACAAGGAGAAGAGAAAGAGTAGCCGGACAAAAAGAAGATGCTGCCCGAACAGCCTCCAGAGAAAAGGAACGGGGTGAACCGTTAGGCTATTCAGGACGAACAGCCTTAAGGAGGTAGCAGTGTGACATGTTGAGCAACGGATGACTCCTACCTCCCAGGTGGCAGGTGGCGGTAACGAAGCGCTCTCGTTACAACGGTAATAGGCAGGTCAACATCCTCCCTCCCCTCCCCCCGCCAGAGGTGACTTGCCGAGCGGAGCCGAAGTGAGCCGAGTCCCAGCGCACTGGTCGCTATGCAAGGCGGATAAACAGTGGCTGCGATAGACGACGGTAGCAACAGTGATGCCTACCACGTGGTTGTTTTCTCGTTGCCCTGCTGAGGGTTTATAAGGGAGCTACACAGCCGCCGACGACAGTTCTCAGTTCGCAAGTTACGAGTTACAGACGCGTGTGAGGGAATCAGTGATAATTCGTGATAACCAGTTATATTTGGAGTGTGTAATTCAGCAAGACTTGTATAGCTCCCGCGCTATTAATACGTGAAGACTTGAAGATAGTGTTAAGAAATTTTGTTGTATGGTTTGTAAAGTGTGGAAACCCGTAACATTGTTATAATTAATTGTAGCCGATACTTGAAGATTGTTAAATAAACCAATTAACTATCTCTACGGCGTCTTCAGTAACGAAACACCTTACAGTAGTATTTGTAATACTGCAGATAGCAGTAATTGTGGATCTGTAAATTGTGTGATTGTAAGAGCGATAGTGAAATAAAATTCGCTGTATCAAATACGGCGTAAAGTTATTTGTCGCTTTATGCGCCCAACACGCGACAATGTTCCTTATTTTAACTTGAAAATTCAAAGAATTTTAGGTTAAAATTATATAAATTTCGTTGATTTCGTTCAAAATTCAATTAAAATTCATTAAATTGTTAACATGTGTGATGCAGATTCCCATTCTAAGCGTCTGTTTTTGCTGATGACCTCAAAATTTACCGAGCCATTAGTTCCCCTCATGACTGCTATCTACTTCAGTCTGACGTTAACTCTGTACAACGTTGGTGCATTGCTAACTGTATGAAACTCAACATAAGTAAAACTAAGGTAATATTATTCTCCAGGAAAACCAACTTACTTATCTATGATTATAAACTTTTTCAAACGTCAATAGCCCCGACCGATTCTGTAAAAAACATGGGAGTGTTTATTGGTGCTAAGCTATTGTCGCATGTGGGGTGTATAACGCAACAGATAACTTCACGCCTTATTTGATATAGCGAATTTTATTTCACATTCGCTCTTACAATCACCCAAATTACAATCTGACAATTACTGCCATCGGCAGTATCACAAATACTACACTGCAAATGCCAGAATACAACTGACTGGCTGCTGGCTAACTCGTAAATGCTCGGAACTCTATCGGAACTGACTGTGAATAGCCTCGCTGCTTCTTATGTAGCCTCATTCCGGACAACACAGAACACGGCCACGTAATAGGCACACTTGTTGTCTGGCACCGTGTTGCTAGCTACGCTGTCCGGAGTTGTTTACTGCTGGATAGCAACTGCGGTTTCCCTTGATGACGTCACCGCTGTTGACTCGCTTTGCATACCTACCAGGATGCTGGGACTAGGCTAACTTCGGCTCTGCTCGGCGCGTCACCGCTGGTCGGGGGGTGGGGGAGAAAAGGGAGGATGTTGACCTGCCTATAACCATTGCGCAACACGTCACACTATATTTCCATGACCAGGTCAATTACATTTTCTCTCAATGTGCGGAACTATTGGGTCTAGTTCGTAACATTACCTTCAATTTCTCTCCGCTAGACTGTATGTTCAGATTGTACACTACATTATTTAGGTCTAGGCTTGAATATGCGTCCGTAGTATTGAATTCGATTACGTAAACTGATGCCAACAAGCTGGAACGCATCGAGCAGAGGTTTGCGGCCCTTTGTAAACGTTTCTTTCCTCAAGTTCATTACAATTATTCTCTTGCTCTTGAGCTGTTAAAATTGCAACTTTATGTACTAGAAAACATCGCCTTGATGCTCTCTTTCTTATTCAAGTTTATTTATCTCGATATTCTGCCTTTCTGTCCTGGAAATTATTGTTCTCCGAGTTCCTGCTCGGTATCTCAGAGATTTTACATTGTTCAATGTTTGCTCCTTATTTAAAAATTGTCCCTCTGCTAGATGCGCAGCAGCTGCTAATGCTGTCTGCAGGGAACCAGGAATGTTCTACCAAAACAAATTATAAATATAGTATAACTGTTAGTATTTTTATCATTTGCATGTCCAGTAAAACAAAATGAATTACGTATATAATTATTATCCTCTGAACATCTATAATATTCATTTCTTAATTAAATATTTTTGTTTCATTCCTCAATTCGTAACAACATTTAGTTTAATGATAATGACATTTTTATTATTCCTATAATTATCAGTTATTTGTTTGTTTACATTTACTTTTATTCATTATTATTTCTTCCCAGTACTTACCTGTAATTTGTACTTGAGATTTGTTGTATACGGGTCTAGAAGGGATGTATTGCGTATAATGATGATATTAAATTACCTGTAGAAATAGGTACAATTACCAAGGTATTGCATATAATTGGATTATTTTAACAGAATATATGTATAAGCTGTCTAAGCTGTATTCTTCCCCAAAAGTGTCAGCCGGCCGGATATCAATTGAACTTGTGACCCGAGACACTACGTCACATTTGGAGTGAGGGCCCGCACAGCGCTGGGAATAATACAGCAGCCGAGATTGAAGTTCAAGTGACTACTTTTGTAACCATATTTGGGCATAATCCGGAACTCAGTCTTTAATTGTAGTATAAAACCCCAAGGACTGACGCCCCAAGTGCTTTTAGAACATTCAACTAGCTGAGACTACTTGTATGTCAGTCTAATAGTCGGTACTGCCCGTAGCTTAGGCAGATAACCACTTCTACGTTTCCAGCAAGATCCTGTAATTCATTTGCTAGTAATAAAACTTCATTTATATTACAACTGCTGAGAGGTACATCCCATTCTGCCTCCCAAGGGATCCGCTCGCCCAAGGCCAACCTTATCCCTCAACCGCGGGATACAACAACTGGTGTCAGATGTGGGGTGATTAGCAGCCAGACAAGGATCAACTGGAACGTCGAAGGAGGAGGAAGAATCTACCAGCCAGGAGAACTTCCTACTCATAACAGTTGGTAAGACCCATCTGTTCAGTGGCTCAGTAACTGGGCACTTGCAGTTCTTCTAAAGGAAGAACAAGGGATTGGAATCGAACAGCGTACTAGAGGTGAAGAAAGAGGAGCCTCATTAGTTTGGGGATTGTGCAAGAAGGTCGCCAGCAGTCTCTGCAGAGGGTGGAGACGAGAAGAAGACGATTTTAGTGTTGCTTCGATAAGCTGTTCCTAAGATAGAAATTTACAAGCTACAGGAACGGCGGAGCTGAGAAGGAGCAGATAACTGATAGGCGAAGGGTGAACGACAGGGAGACTTCGAGGGGAACCAGAGGACGAGCCAGCTGTGAGAGAGGAAGAAGGACCAGCTACACCAGATAAACTTCATTATCATCAACGGTGAGTCCCCGTTTAAGGATATATGAGTGTCAGTTTGAACCGTGCAACGGTTCTTCTCCGTGAAGTTCCTTGGAGTGCCCCCCGAAACGCCAGGATGCCAGCCGTTCCTCCCTCTTTCTACTTAAAGTCTTAGCTGACGTCAGGTCAACTGACCTTGTCCCCCCTCTCCTGGACGCAGTGCGAGCTTTCCTGTATAGTAAAACGAATGTATCGTCCTCTCTCTCCCCGTTGACTTCGGAAAGGTAACATCGCTGCGTCCAAATTTAGTTTCGTTATGTTGAATTGATCTTGTGAAATTCGGTTTCGGCCCGTAGCGGTGTCTGAAAGGGGAAGAGTGCCCTCACGACGTGATCAAGGCGGGATCAAGTCGTGAGGTAAACTTTGTGTTGTAATTCAGGAAACGCAAGTAAGTGACTTACTGTTTGAGATGGTTTCCTTTCAATTATGAACGCCGTGTGGCGTAAGATAATTTGGTTTTGTTTTGGGTTGTGTAAAACAGCAGATCGCCCCTCAGGCGTGTTTGTAACCTGTTTATGTTTCCTTGTGCCCTCAAGGCTTGCGTAAGTACATGTTTGTACTGGAGAAGTTGAATGACGCCATGAGGCGAGCCTGACTTGAGTTCTGTGCGGCTAGGCACAGTGTAGCGCTGTATTAATTATTTATCACGTGTTCTGACCAGTCCCTGCCCATCAGGCAGAGTATACCTGTATACTTATGTTATCAATATATACATTTATTTATATGTTTGGAAACGCCAGTTGTATTTATGTATACTTGTGCTGTGTATTCCCTACCAGTTCGGACTAGCCGATCCGTCAGGCTTGGCCTAAAGTGTCGACAGCGGGTTTCCTCTCCTGAGATCCCCTACTCGTCCTTGGGGAGGCATAGTACATCACGTACAAGCAAGTCGTTTCTTATGAGCCTGTCCCTTACCCATTTGAGCAGGGGTTCACGGGTTTGAGTGGGTAGAAGAACTGGGTCCTTTACCCACAGGGTCAAGGGACACGGCTCAAGTTCGCGAACAAATACACAGGTTGTAGAGGCAAATAGCTCCAGCAATATGGCAGAGCAGTATGTTAGTGTGAGTGAGGCACTGAAATTAGTAACTCCATTCAGTGGGAATAAAAGAGAAGTACTTACATTCATTTCTAATGTGGACACTGCGTTCGAAGTAATAAACCCGGAACATGAGGATAGATTATATAAGTTCGTGTTAACACGAAAGAGCGGGGAGCCTAGGATAGCAATAGCCCACCGAAATTTGGACAAATGGGCAGAGGTTAGGGAATTCCTGAAAAATACCTATCTCGAAAAACGTACATTGGATTTTCATGCTACCCAGTTATTCAAGGCTGGGCAAGAAAAATCAGAAAGTGTTTCAGAATTGGTGCAAAAGATCCAAACATTAGGCTCGAAATTTAGAGAAGTAGCAGTGATGGATTGTTCAGAAGAAGAAAGAGCAGGAATTCTCACGTTATCAGATAAGTTGAGGAACATATGCTTCATACAAGGACTATTTTCTGATAGAATACAGACTATTGTCCGTAGTCGGAATTTCGAGGATTTCGATGGAATCGCAGAAACTGCATTGGTAGACGAATGTGCCATTGTGTCTAGAGCAGAGAGGTACAAGACCCCCGGTTCAACCCCAGCACAGTGCATGATCTGCAGAAGGTCGGGGCACACCAGCAGTAACTGTTTCTCCAAAATAAAGAGAGACAACAGGGTAAATCAGTTTTCGGTGAGGAGACCGGCGCAGCCACACGATGTAATTTGCTATAATTGTGGGGAGAAAGGACATATTTCTAAATTCTGCAAGAAACCCCGAAAAGCAGCGAGTAGAGACAGGCAGAAAGCAGAGGAGAAGGGAAACGAGAATGGACCGTTGGCCCGCAGCCAGCAGACGGTCCGTACAGTACAATAGGCTGTATCAGTGGAAATAAGTATGACGGTTTGGAATGGGAAGTGGATGTTAGCAAGGCGGGAAAATTGAAGTTTCTGGTAGACACAGGCGCTGATATAAGTTTGATAAAGAGCACGAAATTGATGGGAGACGCCGTGTTTGACCCGACCCGTAAAATAACCGTGAGAGCAGTGGACGGATCCGTAGTAGAGACGTATGGCGTCATAGAGGTTGGGGTCCAGGAAGGGAAGGTTAGAATTCGATTCCCGTTCCATTTAGTGAATATACAAGTAGATCTTGGCTACGATGGGATCCTAGGTCGAGATTTTCTGCAGAGTACGAAAGCCAACATATGTTATGAGAATAAAAGAGTAACCTTTGAGGCGGAGGGCCACCAGGTCATTAAAGAGATATTAGCTGCAGCTGAAACACCTGTAGCAGGGCACGCTAGATCAGTGCGATTACCAAAGAGGCCGGAAATAATAGTAGAGGTACATGTAGAAGAAGGGGAAGCAGGCACTGAAGGGATTATCAGTAGCTAGAGATAGCGGAGGGAATTTATATAGCCAACTCACTAACCAAGATTGAGGGAAATAAGGCTATCACCAGTATTCTAAATACTAGAGATGAAGAAGTAGTGATGGAAATTCCCCGTATGCAATGGGAAAGGTACACTCTAGATAAGGAAAATCGAACTGGTTATGTGGGAGCCATAACCCCAGTGGAAATGAAAACGGGACAAAACAGAGAAGAAAAGGTCCTAGCGAACTTGAGACTAGATCACCTAAATTCTGAAGAAAAGGGAGTAATCGAAAATACCTGTAGAGACTACCAGGATATATTTTACCTAAAGGGAGACCACTTAAGTTGTACGAATGCAGTCAAGCATTCCATAGACGTTATACCGGGAACTAGCCCGATAAATACTAGGCCATATAGACTGCCAGAAGCCCAGAAGGCGGAGGTGGACGCACAAGTAACCAAACTCCTGCAGGGTGGGATAATAACCGAGAGCAAATCCCCTTGGAATAGCCCTATCCTTGTTATTCCTAAAAGAGAAGACGCTAGTGGGGAAAAGAAATGGCGATTAGTGGTAGATTTCCGCAAACTGAATGAGAAGAGCATAGGTGATGCCTACCCTCTCCCCGATATCACGGAGATATTAGATCAGCTGGGCCAGTCGAAGTATTTTAGCTGCCTAGACATGGTGATGGGTTATCATCAAATAGAAGTTGAAGAGAAAGACCGAGAAAAAACTGCTTTCAGCACCAAAGAAGGTCATTGGGAGTATAAGAGGCTTCCGTTTGGGCTTAAGACGGCACCGGCGACATTCCAACGCATGATTAACACAGTGTTATGCGGACTCACAGGGTCGCGCTGCTTTGTCTTTCTAGACGACATTGTGTTATACGCCAGGTCCCTAAGTGAACACGATACAAAATTAAGAGAAGTATTTGACAGAATCCGGAAATTTAACCTCAAACTCCAACCTGATAAATGCGAATTCCTTCGCACAGAAGTGAGCTATTTAGGACATGTGATCACAGAGAGAGGGGTAATGCCTGACCCTAAGAAGGTAGAGACTGTAAATAACTACCCGAGACCGATCAATGTCAAGCAACTAAAAAGCTATTTAGGTATGGCCAGCTATTACCGAAAATTCATCCCGAATTTTAGCAGGATAGCTGCGCCCCTTCATGCTTTACTTAAAGCTAATGTACCTTTTGTTTGGGAAACAGAACAGGAATTAGCCTTTCAGAAGTTAAAGGACAAATTGGTGTCAAAGCCAATCTTGCAATATCCAGACTTCACTAAAGACTTCATATTAACAACGGATGCTAGCAATGAAGGGTTAGGAGCGATTTTATCGCAAGGAGAAATTGGGAAGGATCTACCCATATCCTTTGCCAGTAGAAATTTGAATAAAGCCGAACGCAACTATTCCACTAGTGAGAAAGAGCTTCTAGCTATTGTGTGGGGCGTGAAACATTTCAGACCCTACTTATACGGCAGGAAATTTAAAGTAGCCAGCGATCACAAGCCACTAATGTGGATTATGAATGTTAAGGACCCGGGATCGAGATTGCTGAAGTGGAGAATCCGTTTAGAAGAATACGATTATCAGATAGTATACAAGAAAGGGGCTTTGAACACGAACGCGGACGCGTTAAGTCGTATTCATGGATTATCGCTAGAGAACGAACCCCAATTAGGAACACAGATAGAGGAGGAAAAAAAGAAACAAATCTTGTATGAATATCATGATGCGCCTCTGGGCGGTCATCGCGGAATGAACAAGACCTATAAGGCGATAAAGCAAAAGCATTCTTGGCCCAATATGAAGAAGGAAATCGAAGACTATGTTAAAAGATGTAAGAGCTGTCAAATGAATAAAATATTGCGGCCACGCGGAAAAGTCCCGATGGAGATCACCACAACAGCCAGCCAACCTTTTGAAAAATGTTGTTTAGATATTGTAGGTCCCTTAACAGAGACCCAGACTGGAAATAAGTACCTACTTACTTTTCAGGATGAACTCAGCAAATTTTTAGTGGCCATTCCCATACGAAAGCAAGACGCAGAAACGGTAGCTAGGGAATTTGTGACCCACATAATTTTGAAAATGGGCACACCAAAAACCATTCTAACAGATCAAGGCTCAAACTTCTTGAGCGAAATTTTTAAGAATGTCTGCAAAATGCTTAAGATAAAGAAATTGCAAACCACCTCTTTTCACCCGGAGAGCAACGGTAGCCTTGAACGTAGTCACAGAGTATTGAAAGAATACCTGAGACATTACATAAGGGAAGACCAACTGAACTGGGATGAGTGGGTACCTTACGCGGTATACGTATATAATACGTCGATCCATGTAGCTACCGGATACACTCCGTTTGAACTGATATACGGATTTAAGTCAGCGATGCCTTCTAATTTAATGGGAGATCCAAATCCCCAGTACAATTACGATGATTTCTTAGTTGAATTAAAGAATAGACTACAAACCGCTCACCACACTGCTAGAGAAAAACTAATACAGGCCAAGCACAAGAGTAAAGAATACTATGATAGGCATACGGAGGAACCCTCGATTAAAGTAGGTGACAAGGTATTACTGTTTGATGAAACAGTGAGGAGAGGTAGATCGAGGAAACTGTGTTCACAATGGTTAGGACCCTATGAAGTGATTTGTAAAGAAGGGGTTAATGCGACCCTCAAGATGGGAAAACGGATTCAAAGGGTACACCTAAACAGGCTAAAACATTTCCATTAGTTTCAAGGGAGAAACAAGAATTATTATTCTTTCCAGATGCAGTATAGGAAGACATGGATCATAGCAGTATGGATCGTTTGGTCATGGGGAATCTGGGAAACAAATGCCTCAACTGAAGACCTTGGATACGCCGTAGATCGATATGATGAATCACCAGGGATATATTACGAACATCTAGGAGAAGTTAACTTGTTTAATACAGAATGGAAAACAGTGGTATACTTAGACATAAAGGATACAGACCAAAAATCAGATAAAATAGGAGAATACATAGAACACATAAGCAAATTATGCTTGACCACTTCAATTAGAAATTGGACAAACTGTAACCGTTTCGAAAACATAGCGAGAGATAGACTGAGTCAGATTAGAGGAAGCGAAAGGTTGTTAAAAGACTTGATAGGAAGCAATCCTAGTCACCGTAGGAGACGTCGAGGAGTTTTTAACTTTATTGGCGAAATTAGTAAGGTTCTGTTTGGCACAATGGATTCGGACGACGCTGAGTACTATAATGAACAAATCAAACGATTCGAGGAAAACTCGGAGGATGTAACAGACTTAATGAAGCAACAATTATCGATTGTCAAGGCTTCGTTGGGAACTTTTAATGAAACAATATCCGATATGGAATATAATAATAACCTTATCAAAAGAGGATTGACCGAATTAAAAACTTATATGGAGAAATTTATAGGAGAAACCGAAGCTAGACTGGACCTAATATCGATTAAGATTAATATAGAAAGTCACATTGCTCAAGTTAACAATGCCTTGAATGCTATGCAAAGAAATCTTGATTTACTAATAGAAAGTATATTGAATGCACAGAAAGGAGTGTTGCAACCACAAATTGTTTCCCCTAGCTTAATTCTTGAGAGTTTGAAGAAGAGCATTCCGTATTTTCCCGAAGGTACACTGACACCATTTTCCTTAAGCAAAGACTCGATCAGTATGATTTATAAATTATCTGATGTACATGTATACATAAATAAGGATATATTAGGGTATGTAATAACCCTACCGCTGGTGAATAAGAGTGTTTTTAAGGCATTAAAACTAATACCTCTTCCCATAGCCAAGGACAAATTCAAGTTTGTGTACATTGAGACAGAGAATTCAATATTGTATGTGGACGAAACTAGACAATATTATTTCACCACCAGCAGAGAGGAACTGGACAAATGTAAGTTAATGAAAGCAAGTTCATTTGTATGTAAACAGAGTCAACCCCTACTAAATAGTCACCTGAGAGAATCTTGTGTAGTAAAATTGTTACAGCCCAGGAGAACTATACCTCAGAGTTGTGATACCCGATTAGTGTCTATCACGCACCCGGTGTGGACACAACTGGAGAGGCGAAATGAGTGGATATACTTTATCCCATCTAGCGATAGTGTGACGATTGTGTGTCCCAACAAGGAACCAGTGGAAGTGTTGCTCACTCACACTGGGAAGCTAGAAATTCAAGCAGGGTGTAAAGGTTACACAAAAACAGCATTATTATCAACAGTAAAGGAAATTAAGGTGAACGATTCCAGAAAGGGAGGAGACCTACTATCAAAGGTAGACGCCGAATTTGAATGCTGTGAACAATTAGGCTCTCACCTCAACCTGAGCCATATAGATTTAGATATGAAATTCAAACATATAGTTAATCATGTAGAGGACTTAAAATTCGCTAGTTTTAAGATTTCTGAACTGGAAAAGTTAGCCAGAGAGCATGAATGGAAGAGCAGGTATGCTCAGTACCATAACACGTATTCAGTGTTAGCATATATTTTTGCTAGTGTATTGATGATATATGTACTGTATAAGCTAGTGAGGTGTGTATTACCTCGTTTTAAAGCAAACACTGCCCTAAGAGCGATCGCTGCCTCCACCACAGAACGTTTGGGTCTCACCACAGAGTCAAACGGAAGGGGCAACATAGTAAACATTAATATTAAAACCAGCAGCGAAAGCATTGCAAGTAACCCAGAAGATATCCCACTTCGAACTCTACCGGAGGTTACCAACCTCAGAGAAACCGGAGAAGTTCGCAGATCAACAAGAAGTAGATCTGCAAAATCACATTTCTAAATCCAATTAAAGTGTAAATTGTGCAGTCACATTTCTAAATTCAATTAAAATGTAAATTGAATTTTTTCCTGAGGGGGAGGTGTTGTATATGGGTCTACAAGTGATGTATTGCATATAATGATGATATAAAATTACCTGTAGAAATAGGTACAAATACCAAGGTATTGCATATAATTGGATTATTTTAACAGAATATATGTATAAGCTGTGTAAGCTGTATTCTTCCACAAAGTGTTGTCAGCCGGCCGGATATCAATTGAACTTGTGACCCGAGACACTACGTCACATTTGGAGTGAGGGCCCGCACAGCGCTGGGAATAATACAGCAGCCGAGATTGAAGTTCAAGTGACTACTTTTGTAACCATATTTGGGCATAATCCGGGACTCAGTCTTTAATTGTAGTATAAAACCCCAAGGACTGACGCCCCAAGTGCTTTTAGATCATTCAACTAGCTGAGACTACTTGTATGTCAGTCTAATAGTCGGTACTGCCCGTACCTTAAGCAGAAAACCACTTCTACGTTTCAAGCAAGATCCTGTAATTCATTTGTTAGTAATAAAACTTCATTTATATTACAACTGCTGAGAGGTACACCCCATTCTGCCTCCCAAGGGATCCGCTCGCCCAAGGCCAACCTTATCCCTCAACCGTGGGATACAACACTGCTCCTGTGGTTCCTTGTATTCCGGCGTCGTCGCTCCCCTAGGAGCCCCCACTACCTCTCTCTCCAATGCCTCGTTACCCACTGCCTCCTCTGGCTGCCGCTACACATTCCCTCCTGCTAGCCCCCCCTTTCCGCAGGCGGTAGGGGGTGGGCCGCTGATACAGGGCTGCCAAGCGTCTCCCAAGGCAGTGTTGCCAGATCCCCGAGGCTTTCACAACGTAGTTTCGGCCGGAGCGTCGGGCTCGTAACACAGCATGGATTCTGCAAAGGAAAATCAACACATACAGCAATCACAGAATTTACAAAAGCGGTCGACAAAACACTAGATGAAAAGGAATCGAGTATAGGGATATCTTTGTATTTATCAAAAGCATTCGACATAGTAGATCATGATATATAGCTAAGTAAGTTGGAAAGAATGTGAATACGAGGGGTTACACTATGGTGGTTCCAAACATACTTAGAAAACAGAGAACAAGCGGTAGAAATTACATACAGATGCAAAAACTAATCGTAACATTAATTGCCTATCCCGAAAGAGACCTATCAGCTACGGCGTCCCACAAAGTTTCGTTCTGGGGCCAGTGTTGTTTCTGTTATACATAAACGACCTGGAGGCCAGCATAGAACGTGGGAAACCTACTTTCTTTGCCGATGATACTATCATTTTTATAGCAGGAAATAGCACTAACGAAATTCAAAGGAAAACAAATGAAACAATAAACAAAATCACAGCGTGGTTTGAGAGGAATCGATTAACTAGTAATAAAGAGAAAACAGTAGCAATAGCCTTCCATCATCCTCAAAAACTACAACTTGAATGCCCTCCAATAAAGAACACAGATCGCTCAAAATTTCTTGGAGTCTGACTAGAGAAGCATCTAAGATGGACTATGCATACGCAAAAGCTAGCGAACAACTTATGTAAATTATGTTTTGGCCTAAGGGTAATTAGAAGAGTGACTGGACTAGAGACTGTTCGCACGTTATATTATGCTCATTTCCAATCTTTTTTATCATAAGGACTGATATTCTGGGGCAACTCGGTAAATGCAAAATTGATCTTTAAATTACAGAAGAGTGCTCTAAGAGCTATGTCCCAGGTCCCAAAAGCGACTAGTTCTAAACAAATTTTCAAATCATTGCACATATTACCTCTACCATCTTTGTACATATATGAAACTCTATTATACATAAAATCCAATTCTAATGAATTCACAACCAACTCACGATTACACTCATACAACACAAGTAAAAGAGATGACTTGCACATCGTCCCATGTAATACAAGTCTATGCAATAACAACTTTAACAATGTAGGACTTCGACTGCTAAATCATCTGCCACGATATATTAAAGAAATACCGATACTATATAAGTTCAAAAGCGCTTTGAAAACTTACCTACTCGATCATTGTTTTTATAAAGTGGACGAGTTTCTCTCGTGTGAGACAAACACTAATCAATTATAACTGCATAATTCATGCGTAATCGGTTTTGTGAATCCCTACTGCGCAGTTTTCCTTTCTTTCTTCCAGCAACCAAGATAACACAGTTGGAGATATACCTGAATGGGCTACTCTGGAGAGATTGCAGATGCCAAGAAGTTGCACCAAGACGGGAGAACAGATGTAATGAGATGTTGCAGTGTAGAGTCTACAGTGAGACGTTATACCAGTGGTATCACCAAATTGACCAGTATTATCTCAAAGCACGCGCCATAGCTTAAGCGGATAGTTGCTGGCTTCTCACCGCTGCGGTCTAGTCAAGTGGGATTTGTGATGGACAAAATGGCGCTGGGGTAGGTTTCCTCCAAGTACTTCGGTTTCCCCTGCCAATCCTCATTCCATCAAATTCTCCATAAATATTATCACCAGTATAGGCACAATAGGACATATGGAAGCCGACGTGCCGAGGGGACCTAATATGGATTCCACCTCACACTATGTGAAATCTTAAGTATTGTAATCTACTGTCATCTACTGTAAACAATTTCAAGTATTGTAACTGTATTCTCTTATTTTAATCAGCCAATATACCGTAACTGGCTTGTCCTATATCATGTAACAATGATCTATAGAGACGAAAGAAATACATACATAAATAAATAAATACATATGTAAAATAATAGTTGTCGTGATAGTAGTAGATGTGTTCTGTACAGGAGCTGCAAAAAATCAACGTATTTTTGCAGAAATCTTTCGTATTTGAAAATATTTAGTATGTCAAAAGTAATAGTCGTTTTTGTAGATATGTTCTGTACATAATCTGCATAAAATCAACCCATTTCTGCTGAAATGTCTTGAAATGCTAGGTCAGATGACAACGGTCGTTATAGTATATGTGTTCAGTATAGGAACTGCATAAATTCAACTCATCTTTTGGAAATATATTGAATTCGACAAAATTTAGAAAGACAAATTATAATGGCCGTTATTGTAGATGTCTTCTCTATAGGAACTGCAAAATAAAAAAAGAGCATTATTGCTGATAACTATTGAAGAATGCAAGATTTATAATATTAGATCATAGTGGCGTTATATTAAATAATTTGTCTACAGGAACTTCATAAAATCAACACACTTTTTGACGAAAACTTTCGAATTCGGCCTAATTTAGTGTGTCAAATGATAAAGGTCGTTATAGTAATGTGTACTGTAAAGAAACGCATAAAATCAAAGCATTGTTGCTGATAAGTTTTGAATTTGGCAAAATTTAATATGTCAAATGATAGTGGTCGTTATAGTAGAAGTGTTCTGTACAGTAACTGCATAAAATCAACGCATTTTTGACAAAAGTTTTGAATTCGGCAAAATATAATACATCAAATGATAGTGGTCATTATAGTAAATGTGTTTTGTACAGGTACTGCATATAATCGACGCATTTTTGCGAAGAATAATGAATTATGCAAAATTTAGTATTTCAAATGATAGTGGCTGTTATAGTAGATGCATTTTGATTTGGAACTGCATAAAATCATTGAATTGTTTCGGAAACTTGTTGAATTCTGCAAAATTTAGTATGTCAAATAGTCATAATCATTCTAGTAGACGTGTTCTTTACAGGCACTACTTAAAATCATCGCACTGTTGCGGAAAATTGTTGAATTCTGCAAAATTTAGTATGTGAAGTGATAGCGGTCGTTATAATAGATTTGTTCTCTACAGAAAATCATAAAATCAAAGCATTATTGAGGAGTGTGTGAGGCAAAAATTTAGTATGTCAAATGATAAGGTTGTTATAGTAGGCGTTCTCTTTACAGGCACTGCTTAAAATCAACGCAATATTGCGAAAAACTTTTGAATTCGGCAAAATGTATTAGGTAAAATAATAGAGGTCGTTTTAGTAAAAGTGTTCTGTACAGTAACTGCATATAATCAACACATTTTTGCCGAAAAGAGTGATTTCGTCAAAATTTGATAAGTTAAATGATAATGTTCGTTATAAGAGATGTGTTCTACACAGGAACTCTATAAAATTAAGGCATTATTGCGGAAAATTGTTGAATTATGGGAAATTTGGTTTTTCAAATTATAGTGGTCTTTATAGTGGATGTGTTGTGTACAAAAACATATACCATCAAAGCACTGTAGCAGCAAATTTTTAATTCGGCAAAATTTATTATGTCAAATGATAGTGGCCGTTTGTACACGCGTGTTCTTTACAGAAGCGCATAAAGTCAAGGCGCTGTTGCGGAAAAGTTTTGAATTCGAAAAAATTTGTATGTCAAATAATAGTGGTCGTTATAATAGATGCGTGTCTGTACATGAAAGTCATAAGTTCAATGCATTGTTGCGGGAAAGTTTTGAATTCGTCTAAATTTCGTACTTCAAATAACAGTGGTCGTTGTAGTTAATGTGTTCTATACAGGAAGGTATAGAATCCAAACTTTGTCGCCGAAAATTATTGAATTCGGTAAAATTAATACGTCAAATGATAGTTGTTGTTTGAGTAGATTTTTTTCTCAGCAGGTACTACATAAAATCAACGCATTGCTGCGGAAACGTGTTGAATTCGTCAAAATTTGTTATGTCAAATGATAGTGGTCGTTATAATAGATGTGTGTCTATACATGAACTGCATAAAATCAACGATTTATTTTGCGGATTAGTGTTAAATCCTGCAAAATTTAGCATATCAAATGATAGTGGTCGTTATAGTAGATGTATTCTCTATGGGAACTGAATATTACCAATGAATTGCTGCGGAAGCATGTTGAATTTAAGCGAAATTTGGCATGTGAAATAATAGTAGTCGTTATGCAGTAAAACCTGCTTTAAACAGACCCTTTATTAAACGGAAATCTGTCTTAAAAGGAAATATTTTGAGGTCCCTTGACATTGGGGCTGAAAAGAGTTAAATAGCCGGAATTAAATGGATACTGTCAAACGCTAACAACGGAAATCAAAATACGCTTTCAAAAGGAATATTTTCAGTCTTCCGGAATGCATCGTTCTGAATAATTTTAGGCAACCTATACATGCTACAGAATTTTGTTTCTAACTTTTTAAAATGAGCTTCTTACGGTACTGCACTACCTGCACTGAGATTCAACAGAACTGTTTTCCCTTTTGGAAATATTATTCAGTGAGGGCTCTAGGACTACAGTTTTACTTTAGTCTAGCAGTTTTCATCATGCATACAAAGACAAGAGTTGTGCTTGATGTTAACACAAGGTTAGAAGTGATTCACGCGAGTGAGCGAGATAAATTGTCTGTTAAGCAGATCATGAAGATGTTTAACGTCGGTAAAACTCAATTGTATGAGATTCTAAAGAAGAAAATGGAAACTTTGAAGCGGTGGGAAATTTGTTCTAATGGA